TACGAAAAATTCTTTGTTTCTGCCAAAATTGTGCATCGAGGAAAAATTAACAGATTATCATTTCATCAAGGAGACGAGAAAAACATTGCCCTTCAATTGTCACATTGTGTTTTATTTCGGATAACGTTAAATTACCAAAATTGCCTCACTGAATAATCTATAGGTGATGTGGTATGTGATTTCATGACACTATCAATTAAATGTATGATATACGTGATGTGGTATGTGATTTCATGACACTATCAATTAAATGTATGACTATAAACCTCATTTATTGATAAGAATGTCACATCAAATGAGGATTATTCCCATGAAGTTAAATTGCATTAATCTTTTCGCATTTGAAATTTGAATACATTATAAAAAGTTATAACTAATGAGTAATTAATGTAATTAATACGATAAACTTTTTTGGGAAAAGAAATTAATGAAGATGATTAATGGGTACACAAAATATGTGTGTATCATAAATTTGTAATAATAATGCATTAACGGTTAAATTTAATGTTTGACTTTGATTTTTAAGATGATAAGAATGAAACCCAAATCAACACATTTGTCCAATCATGTAATAAATTCTAATGAATATAAATAGGCTCCCAGGAGTAGCTTTTGTCATCCTAAATTGTTCTAAGCTTCATATAGGAATTGCTTTTGTCAGCCTAAATTGTTCTAAGTTTCATATATCTTCAAGAGAAAATGAATCGTTTTGCGGGCATGCACCATCCTCATTTTTTTCTAAATCATTTGGTTTTTATATAGAAATTTTGACTACTATATAGATCCCTAAAATGTTTTTTTCTTAACGGTTTTAACGATCGCTCAAGAAAATTTTAACTTTCATTAATTAGTAGTATGACATTCTACGATCCCACGTAGATCGTCATAAATATATCGCATTTTGTGACTTCTTTTAAGATCACATAAACCCTTAAAAAAAGATTCTTCTTTTTTAAACGGTTCTAACGACCATTCAATAAATTTTTTGCGCTCATTAATTAGCACTATAACATTCGACATACACGGTAGATCGTCATAAATATGTAGCATTTTATAACAACCCTTTTTGAAGATCACAAAACCCTACATTCATGTGGTATATGTTGTTCGAGGCACAAATTGAAATCACTCACCAACATTAAAATTAAGAAAGTTGGAACCACATTCTCATTGTATATTATTAACATGTCTTCCATTTCATAAGGATATTTAAATATTTCTTTTATTTGTTAATAAAATGTACAGAATCCATTGATTCTTCCCCAGCAGTGATGCAAGAAGTGAACATTGATGAAACATCTGAATCTGTTCGTGACTTACCTAAAGAAACCAAAGTAGATGTAAGTAAACTTAAGACTCCCATTAATTTGTCCATTATTATATGTTTCACACTTCAATTTTCTATGTATAATATTATTAGGAAGAACATTACGAGGTTAAAAAGGTTGTTGTTCCTTTCACTTTCACTGCCGAACAACCTAGGTAAGGCAGAACTTTTTAATTTTTTTTCCAATTATTTATTTATTGTTTTTTCATATTTAATTGAATTATATAATATTATTATTGTGTAATTAGTGATGAAAGAAGAGGACCTGAAGCTTCACAAATGTCCATAAGGCCCTTTTTGAAGCGTCCATCTGAAGAGGTAAATGAAGCAAGTTCGAAAAGGGAGAGGCGTCGTGCCTCAATGATGAGAGCACAAAATGATCCTGGTGTAATGCGGGAAAATGCAGCTAGACGAAGAACTATCATACCAAGAACTCCAAAGAATAAGCAATTATGTTTTGAGTCATTTAATTTCATTATCTTGCACTTTAATTTTTTGCAAGATTTGTGTTTCTTATCAGTATATTTTCTATTTAAACCATAGCCAAGGGTTTGTAGTTTGTGGTTGCTTTTTAATAAATTAATAAAAAAAAACTTTAGAGTTCTTCCAAAATTCGATCTTTCCTCGATGAAACTAGATTAAGGTGTTATTCTCAATTTTGACATTTCACTATGTTAAGTCCCCGTTTGGGAATGATTTTTCATCCCAAAAAATTGATTTTTGACCGTTATTTCATTATTTCAGCCGTAATTTTTGACTTCTTCTCTCATAGATGGCCCCCACTTTTCTTCTAACGGTCAAAAAATCAATTTTCAAAATCACTATTGAACAGGCCCTAAGATTTGCCGACTAGCTAGAGAAACAATTTAGAACAAGTTTAACAACTGATTATAAGTTCTAGTGACAAACACAACTTAATTATTGTATAATCCATTTTAAGTTTGTTCTAATTAATAGTTTACCAAGAGTTCTAGCCACTTGGAACAAGGAGAATTGGTGAATTAACGAGTATTTTTTACTACGGCCCCGTTTGGGATTGATTTTTCACCTCAAAAAATTAATTTTTTGACTGTTATTTCACTATTCTAACCGTAATTTCTAGGACCCGTTTGGTAAGGATTTTGCGAATTGATTTTTTGACCGTTAGAAAAAAAGTGGGGTCCACATGTGAGAGAAGAAGTCAAAAATTACGGCTTGAATAGTAAAATAACGGTCAAAAAATCAATTTTTTGGGGCAAAAAATTCCTACCAAACGGGACCTTAATTTCTTCTCTCACATGTGACCCCCCACTTTTCTCTTGAACGGTCAAAAAATCAATTCTCAAAATCTCTATCGAACAGACCCTAATTCCTCAAGAATGAAAATAAAAGTAAATAAATTTCTTCCTTTTCATATCAAGCTCCCGTTCGATAGAAATTAAAATTCAGATTTTAGTTTAAATTAAAGTCAACAAATAATTTTAACCACATTCTTTATGGAACCCACAATTTTTTAACTATAATTTTCTTCAATTTTTATCAAAATCTACTAAAAATCTAATTTTAATCCCCATCAAACAAACAAGAGCTAGATATTTTATTAAATTTGTGACACGATATATCAACTGTTATGTATTATTACCTTCTACGAGCGTCAAAAATAGAACTAGATTTTAAGATTGATCACAACTTCAAGTGGGGATTAACATAATCTTTTGGGGCAGACAAAATCCTTTTCCTTTTTCTTTTTTTTTTTCTTTTTTTTCTTTTTTTTCTTTTAACCAGTTTTAAGAAGTTAAGAAGAAAAAAAAAAGCCAATTTTATGAAATGAAAAAAAAAAGATTGCCCAAATTTTGTAACCTAAATTGTAGTTCAGTTTAGCCTCTTACACTGTCTGCCTGCCCATGTTGTCTTAGCTACTAAGGTGTAAGAAAATAAGAATGGCAATGTATGCATTTTTTACTCACCTTAAAAAGGTTGCTTATGACAAAATAAGGAACTTTTAAAAAGTTAATAATTTATTAGCTGTCATAATTGAAAATATGCAAGTTATTCGAATAAGAGTTCCTTTCGCAATTATAAATGTAAAAGCGTCATCTATCCTAAATTAATACAACCCGACTGTGTCATTAATCTTACCTTCCATAAACAGCCCATTAATCAATGAATTCAAAGTATAACCATAACAGCAAAACAAAGATCAATCCATTAACAATTGAGAAAAACATTCAGAATAATACAGTCAGGCAATACATGAACTTCCTCCATCCTATGTATTGTCCATAAAAATGATATCTTCAATAATTCTTGGTTTTGGCAACAGAGCCTAACAATTTGTTTAAGCTGGTATTTGCCAACTAACCTGCCATAGAGTTGCCCTTTTTCCAGATATGTGAAAATGAGGTATCGATTTGCCTCTTGCGATGTTGTATTCCTTGTAACGGCAGTCGACAAAGGGCAAAATGTGTTCGTGGACGCCACTCTCTCATGGCTGCTACTTGCTGTAGACCTGACTACAAGATCTTCGTCATTGATGCTATATTAGGATGAGATGCAGCAGAACGTCAGGGTAATAAACAGACAGATCAAATTAAGAACAACAAGATAATCCTCTCTGTTATACTTCCATAATATTCTTTTAAAATCCCATAATAACATTAAATCCAGCAAAACTGAACTGACTGGACCCTAGGTTCCCATTATAAAGCAGCATTAATCAAAATAATGCCAGCAGAAGCATAATTTATGGTTGCTCAGAAGTTGTTTGAGATGGTAACAGAGTGCTTTATTCACACTCTGTACTGCTGGACGCATAGACACAGCCAAGCATGTATAGAATTTGTCATCAAAATTGATTGCACAGCAACACAATATACCCTACTAAGTGGGAAACAGAGTCACTATAGAGAAGAAAGCAGTTACTGAAGATGTCATTTTACATTCATCGGCCCATACTCCAGTTCAGGAATTCTGATTTTCATTTGCACCTTCCTTTGACAGGCCATGTATATCACTGATTTGTCAGTTGTGGTTCCCGTTGAGTTGAGGCAGCAAATCATGAAATCCTGATGATCTTCTCCATCTAATGAATGGGGAGTCTACTTTAAAATCGTCGGCTCTAAGTATATGTTTCAACAAGAATAATACAACGGTAGATTAGAAACCTCAAGGACTAATACTTTTCATTTCCCATTTCATGGAAAACCCTTTTACACCGTTTAGCCTTATCCCCCCTCCCAGGGGATTTTAGTGATAGGTTCTATAGGAACTGGAAAATCCTATTCGGTCAAATACTTAGCGACAAACTCCTGTGTTCCTTTCATTACGGTATTTCTAAACAAGTTCCTGGATAACAAGCCTAAAGGTTTTCTTATTGATGATAGTGACGATATTGATGACGTAGATGCCTTACAGTAAGCCCGGCTGGCATATTGTTGTATGAGAAGGAGTCAATTACCTATTTCACCAATTCCACCACCATCCACCAATTCCACCACCATCCATCCAAAACGACATAATTCAAATCACAGTAATAGACAAAACACAAACATGATTCACTATTTCAAACTTCGAGCAGTAGCAGGTTCTTAACCATTGATATTCAGGTTAATTGTACTCACAAGCAGTAAAAAGTTTGGTAAAAACATAGATAGAGAACTGGAGCAGAAAAATTGGGAATCAAACTCAGATAGTCTGAAAAATTTGTATCAATTGAATTAACAATTATTCAGAAAATAGAAGTATGTCAAATAAGATAAAAACTCCTATTTAGACAGAGATGAATCACTTCCGGTGCCTGAATAGGAAATTTTTCAGATAGAAAAGCTATTCCATTTCCACTGCTCTTGCTGCAATTTCTTCAAACAATTTGACTGGATTCACGAACAATCTAACAATCCCACAACCATAAAAAATCAGTACACCTTCCAACGCAAATTGGAAGGAATGAACTTAATGAACCCAACAAATAACAGAAATAGCTCAATGGAACAAATTGCCAATCACAGACGAATGCCAAAAATAATTTCAACACAAAATCCTAACATAATCAGTGTTCTCTACATTCGAAGATACAACAAAAGTAAGATGGGCAGAGACCTAAGCTTTAAACAGTGAGATGGTAAAAACTTAAGTTCATTCTAACTGGAAGGTATGTTATCTCAAGGATTTCATTCTCAATGCCAATTGAGAACATCCAATAGCAAAAGACACAACTGCATTAATGTCACAATTTTATTCATAACTAGAAATAGTTCATAATGAGAAATTATCCTGAACTTCATAACTAGAAAAACTTCCTGACGTTTCCCTGTTGTCTCTCATTTCTTCTTCGTTCCCTTCTTCTGCTGAACTTCTCTTTCTCTTCTTGCTTGACGACGAGGGCGAAGTTCTCCCAATTTATGGCCAACCATCTGCTCCGATATACGAAAAGGCACGTGTTTCTTACCATTGTACACAGCAATCCGATGGCCCACCATTTCAGGAATAATAGTAGAACCCCGGGACCAAGTTTTTATCAATTCCTTCTCCGCTTTTTGGTTAAGCTGCGAAATTTTTTTCACCAAGTGATTAGCAACGAAAGGAATCCTCCAAGTTCCACCGCCACGGAGACGGAGGACGAGGTGCAGAGTAGACTCCTTTTGAATGTTGTAGTCGGCTAGGGTTCTACCATCCTCCAACTGTTTTCCGGCGAAAATAAGCCGCTGCTGGTCCGGTGGGATGCCCTCCTTGTCTTGGATCTTGGACTTGACATTATCAATTGTGTCGGAACTCTCAACCTCAAGAGTAATCGTCTTGCCTGTTAGGGTTTTCACAAAGATCTGCATAGTATTTTCCAGAAACGCAACATGTAAAAGGGCCTTGGGTGCGGAATGAGGGCTTTTATAGGTGGGGTTAATTTTAATTTCATTCTTCTCTTTTTCTTTTATTATTATTTTTGCAAAAAGCAATAGATTTTTATGAATTCTCAAGAGTGAAAATAATTTATCCTTGCATTTCTCCTATTGTATACATTATCTCGACATCAAGTCTTTGCAACAAAAGACAACAATCCTCGTATAAGACTCTATTTGAATTTTTATTATATCAATCATTTTTAATAGAAAATATCTTCCATGTAATTTCAACAATTAAGCTCAATGCATATTAGATAGGAAAAAACTATGTGTACACATAGCATTACACCACCCTCACATGGAGGGGACTCACACAAAATAAAATATTCGTGGACCCCCTCCATGTAAGAGGAGTGTAATATATTGTGTATATCATGAAGTATACACCTAGTATTTCCCATATAGATATTGTTACTATCCATTTTTTTTTAATTCTTATAAGTCTTGGATTTTCTTTAAAACATCCATTTGTAATGAACTTATTTTACTATTACAAAATTTGTCGATTAATTAGTTTATTCGACAGACACAAATGTGAATACATAGATTTAATTATATACATTTACAATACAAATTCAATTAGATTTTTCTTTTTCAATATTGTTTGATTCTTCTCAACCATTTTTAGTACACATTCAAGATTTATTAGTCTGCATATACTCTTCCAAAGTAGAGGCCTTGCAGAATGGATATGAGTTATTGATCGATAAACACTTTGAAATTAAAGCGACTTTGACATTTCCAATCCTTTCTCGTAGTGCGAGGAGTTTTTGTTCATGTCAATACATCGTAATTTAGTAACTAAAGTAATAGAGGGACGAAAAAAGATGAGTATATAGAAATTGTAATGTGAATCATAGCTCATGTTGCCTGTGTCAAGCCTTGTGCTCAAATGCTGATATCTGGATCCATAAATGCTGCACGAAACTGATGAACATGGAGTAGGGTGCAGGAATATATAGAAAGTGATATCAAAATTGTGATTTCTCAGTCCAGTGAAAGACTGTTGCTGCCTTTGAGGGTTACTAGCCTACCGTCCATGGTGTAATAACTATACCACGAAATTGGTGGTAGGAAATGTTGATTTATTACAATTACCTAAGGATAATCCAATTTTACTACATCAACAGATATGTTTTTGTGTTCCTGGTTTGGATTTGTCTAAACTTGATACATCTTTCACATTAGTGACAGGCTGAAGTTCATGTCTGCAGCATCTGATCTTTGACTCGGCGCTTGGGTGAAAATTTAGTGTCTGAGTTAGATATTCCAAGTAATTTGCATATTGGGACAAAATATCTGTAACTGAAGATATTACGGATGCATCTGGTAATATATTTCTCTTAGCCATTTTCTGAAGAATATCGACAACTTTTGATGCCTCTGCAGCCAAAATCCTTGAATGAAAGTGAGCAGACTGGGTTCACAACCTTCCTTTTCAATGTCCAAAAACAAATTATTTGACCTTCCCATTTCTCCATTTTGACAAAATCCTGGGATCATGATGTTTTATGTAACAGTTGTCTGCTACAGCTTCCACGTAGAAGGTATATAATGATGGTGAATCATTATAACTATATTAACTCCATCGTACCACTTCTAATGAATGATTTGCATTTCATTAAAATTTGATAACTCTATTGCCTACGGATCATAGTTCACCAAGCTTAGATTTGTTTGATATACATAGACAAGCAACTGCTTATAGAAGATTGGCTCAATCCACATCCCTAAATGTAGAGTCTATACATATGAAGTCCTTCGTGAACTGACATTGTCCTTCCTGTATCCGCTGAAAAGTGCAAGATTTTTGCCAAGCCAAAAAGTGACTATTTCTAAGAATCTAGTTCAGTATGTTTTCTACTCATCAATTTCTGTGGATCCAGAAATTATATTTACTGAATAAGGATACCTACAGCTCGATGCACGAACACGTGCTCTATGAACTTACTATTGAATTTTGATTTCAAATGGCTTAAAGGCATCTGATATATTATTGGAGGCAGACGTGTGGCACACAATGCAAAAGATTTTTTCTCACGACCTCAAAACCAGATAAAAATTGAACTAATAACCATGACTTCTGAATTCTATTTCTGTTTTTCTTTTATTTTAGACAGAGACAGTAGGTTTTTTTTTTTTTTGGCAACATAAATCAATTTTTCCATTTCTGGTCGAAATGCTTATGTTGCTTCGAACTGTAACACTATCAAGTAACAAAATTCCAATCAATTCATTTGCTTCAATGTAGATTCAAAATGAGGCTCACACTACAAACTTATTTCATCACAATAGGGCAGCCTTCAAGGATTTGGTGAAGTTTTCCAATTCTTTCAAGCCTTCTTCAGGGGATTTTGCTTCGCTGAGTAATTTTACCATGGCACTACCAACAATCACGCCGTCTGCTCCCCACTTGGCCACCTGTAACCATGCTTAAATTGTTAGTGTACTTGCGTTATGCTCAAAGGATAATAATCGAGGGTATTGGGATATATTGTCAAAGATGGGACCTGTTTCACGTGCTCGGGTTTTGATATACCAAAACCAACTGCTACTGGCTTGCTTGTCACCTGTCAAAATGACATTCAAGTTCACAAATTTTATTTTATTTTTCATTATATTGAGAGGTTTAAGGGAAAAAAAAGGTTATATGATTGATGGCAAAAGAAAAGGTGAAATGAGAATGGTTACTGAGAAAATCTGTAGCACAAGAAGAATACTTGAGAATTTGTTGGGAGCTTATCTGATTGTCAATTTGCAACAATATTTACCTCTTTAATTTCATGGAGGAGAGATTGGACCTTATCACTGACAGATGCACGAGCTCCCGTAACTCCAACTGAGCTCACCTACAAAACAATAAATAGAGAACGACTGGCAGAAGTTAATAGTAAAGTAAATATAGAACTCATTAAGAAAATTGGAAGTGCATTTTCCTATTATTCGTGTGAGGATACATGAATAACATTTCAACTTCTATGGGCACAAGTATATGGTGTTTACTATGGCCCGAGGAACTTGTATGGTGCCTCATATAGAGGCATCATCATTAATACAAGTTCAAACAAACTATTAAAAAAAAAGCAAGAAAATTTAAGTAAAAGTGGATATATGACACAAAAAGACAAGAAAGAGGACGATAAGCTTTGCAAAAATCAAGACAATATAATCTTAGAATGACATTCAGGAAGAACTCTCAAGTTTTCTCCCAAAAAACGAATCAAGTACCAACACATAACTAATTAAGAAAAGGGAAATAGGCAACTCACAAGGTAGACGAATCCTTCTGAAGCTTCAACGATGGCTTTCATTCGCGGTATAGGAGTGGTGGGTGTTGTGAGCAGCACCTGATGTAACAGGCAAGAATTAAGCACGTGAAAAAACGTGTAAAAAATGTACCAACTAAAGTCACAAGTGTGCCCGTGTAAACAGTTCAAATACTGAACTAATTATTATATTCGTTGAGAGATATATTGTTTCGTGAGAAAATACGTGTTTATCCAGGAAAGGACAAACGTATAGAAGAGGTCCCAAAATTTTTTGTACTTCCCTCTAACACCAATTTTTCAATAACTTATCAGCCCTCAATCCTGATCAAACAGCATATTTCAAATAAGATAACCCATGGACCATCATAATATGCAGCCCCATCCAAGGTGATAAGAAATTTTTCATTCTGCTGGTTTGTCCAGTAGACTACAAGATAGGGGAAAAACAGCCCTTCCCCGAACCACTTCTCCACGAGACTTGAATCCACAATTATTTCCAAACTGATTGATACAGCCACTAGGCAAACCTTTGTCTCATTCAAAGGGACTATTCCAAAAGCAAAAAAATATTTCATTATCTAAGACGGACTAAGAACTGCAAGTGCACAAATCACAATTTTCCAATTGTGTGTTTGAAAAATAAAATTGAACAAAATAGTTGACAAATAGAGAGTCATGATATTAAGAATATCACACAACTTAGAATGTCCTAAATAAGTAATCTGTCCCTATGGCAACCACCTTAATAAAAAATCGGGTTACCAGTTTAAGCCAGATGACTTGCCATTTGCAAGAATGTATGTGACTCCATAATAAGGTTTAAAATATGCAACCTTACAAAGCTCAGACAAAGAGCAAAATTATTAAGTTTGAAAACCAACCAATTCCACATTATTACTAGCAGCTTCCTTTCTTAATATCCCTGTCTCCTCCAGAGGGACATCTGGCACAACAAGACCTGAACAGATGAATATTTGAGGTGAGCTTATGAAGAATGTGGAGTTAACATAGTTGCCATATACGGAAAACTTATCATAATATAGTGAAAAAACAAAGAAACTGCAATCAGCAAAGTATAACAACATATTACCATGTATCCCTGCATCTTTCAAAGTGATCATGAATTTTTCTACTCCACGCTTAAGTATTGGATTATAATATGAGAAAAGTGCAATTGGACAAGATAATTGAGGCACCACCTGTGGGGGCAAAAAAAGGCAATTTTAAGAAACTACAAATCTATGACAGCATAATTATACAGTAAAGCCAGCAATGGACAAAGTTATTGAGAGAATGTTCTATGAAAAAAGTAAGACAAAAAAATTTAACATAAAAAAATGGAGCATTGTCCAGATAAACAATAGTAAATTAATTCAAATAATTAGATCAAGTGGTCTACTTCTCCCCAGTTACCAAAGTCATGGATTGGTCGAAAACGCAACATAAAGATATAATCATATATGCATAAGGGAAACACGTTACATGAGTGTGATGTGCTGCCTAGCTATATCATTAAGTCCAGAGCTAATTAGGTTAAATGTATGGCATGCGATACGTCTATTGAGATGGTATCGAGGTAAACCAAAACACATTACTTTCACTCTGTTTTATTTCTAACACAGTTTAAAAATTGGACTTACATCCTTCAACATTGCAACAATTTTATCGAAGTTAGTCCCTCTAGCTAGCGAACGTGTAGCCGCAGCCTGAGTAAACAAAAAGATTTCAGAAAATTTTGGAATTCGAAACTATGACACAATAAGCATCTAACCACATATTTGAACCTGGATAACGGGACCATCAGCTAATGGGTCTGAATAAGGCACCCCTAATTCTATAATGTCTGAGCCACATGAATCAAGGACCTTCAGCGCTTGAGCTGTGGTTGAAAGGTCAGGATCGCCAGCTGTGATATACGGGATGAATGCCAACTTTCAAAACAAAAACAAGCTAATTAATATATATAGTGAAATTCGAAAAATTGTAGTGAAAATTTTATTATTCCATGTCACAAAAGCATGCAAATCAATATAAATGTCACTTTGCCGTAAAATATGGATAAGTTATCTTTTATGCCCTCTAAAATTCCAGAGTCATTTATTTTACTAAAAATAGGCAATCAAATTAGCAAAAAAAAAAAAAGGCATAGCAGCGGCTTCTCTCCAACTTTACGTCAATACCATCTTTCTTTTATATTAAAATCATTTCCCTTGCTATGAAAATTATTCAGCGTCAGAGTTACAAACAATTTGAGCCTTCTCTAGTTATCCGTTTCCATTTTTCCACGAAATGATAGAGGGAACAGATTTTCGTTTACTAATAATCCTTTTTCCACGAAATGATAGAGGGAACATGCATCCATCTTCGATCAAAACGGTTACTAATAATCCTACAAATTATCTCACACTGACCCCAATTTTTTTATATAAAAAAAGATACTTGGAATCCAATCCAGCAAAACAAAAAACAGAGTCTAGGATGAGGAAGAAAACAAAAGCAGTAAACAACAAAAAGAAAAAGAAAATATAAAAGGAATGCTGCTTACTTTCCCCTGTTGTTTCAATTTGGAGAAAGTCTCGGAGAGTCCGACAGTGGGAACGGTGGAGAGAGTGGCCATGGGAGCCTTGAATCTGAAAGGCTTGATTCTTGGAAGTGAATCGCCGCCGCCGGCTTTACTCTGAAAGAAAAACGTTGTCTTTAGAGTGACAGCCATTGATTGTACCTCAGGAATTGTCTGTGGGCTCGAGAAGGGCTTCTCCTTTGGGTTTCGAAACAAGAATGGGGAAACCGAATTGACTTGTGGGTCCCGCATCCACGTAATATTTTTACAATTTAATTATTAAAATAAATGGTAATTGGCACAAAACGTCCCTATCTTTAAAGTTTATAGTGAAAAAGTCCCCACCTTTCATTTTTTGACATTTTTACCCCTAAATTTCATCTTTCTTTGAGTTGAACATCATTTTCACCAATTTTTAATTTAAAATGACCAAAATACCCTCCTATTAATACAAAACAAAAAGAAAAAAAATTGCAACTATAAGTCCAAATTTTTGAAAAGTACAAAACGGTCCAAATTTGATAAAAACCATCACCTTCTTTCACCCCCACTCCACTGTCGGCCTCCACTTCAACAACCACCACCCAACTGGCTAAAACATCGAAGCTCACACCACAAACAACTGTCATCGACCCCCAAACACTTTTTCATAAGCAAATCAATCAAACAACAAAAATATATGGGCAAAATCAACCATCACCATCCCTTACTCTACACATAACCGAATTGACTTGTGGGTCCCGCATCCACGTAATATTTTTACAATTTAATTATTAAGATAAAGGGTAATTGACACAAAACGTCCCTACCTTTAAAGTTTATTGTGGAAAACGTCTCCACCTTTCATTTTTTGACATTTTTACCCTTACCTTTCATCTTTTTTTGTGTTGAACATCATTTTCACCAATTTTTAACTTAAAATGACCAAAATATCCTCCTATTAATACAAAACAAAAAGAAAAGAAAATTGCAACTATAGGCCCAAATTTTTGAAAAGTGCAAAAGGGTCCAAATTTGATAAAAAAAACCATCACCTTCTTTCACCCCCACTCCACTGTCGGCCTCCACCTCAACAACCACCACCCAACTGCCTAAAGCTCACACCACAAACAATTTGTCATCGACCCCCAAACACTTTTCCATAAACAAATCAATCAAACAACAAAAATATATGGGCAAAATCAACCATCACCATCCCTTACTCTACACATAATCCAATATGAAAAATTCAAAATTCATTAAAAAAAAAATTCCACCTTTCAAGGTGTATGCACTGAATCGTAGATATCATATGGATACTGAATTTATATTTATAAGAAGTGAGGGGACATATGGGCGGGCAAGAGTGTGGAAGCGAGGGAACGGGAAAATGAACGCCAGTTTCAACCGGAGCCGAGGAGACCGTGGAGTATAAATGTTGTGAAATTGTGACATTTTTTCTAAAGGGGATTGCAACTCTTCGTAGGCTAAGATTCGAAGGAATCATCCGGACCAGTGGGTGACGAGGATTGGAGAGGAGAGAAGTGTTGAAAAAGTCCGAGACTATTTAATTGCTATTGTCCTAGTCTTTAGGTAAGTTGATAAATTGTATTTATTTTATTTAGGAACGTAGCTTGTTTTGGCCCAGTTAAATTAGAGTTTGTTTTGCATTTACCAAGTCTTTAGCATTTTATCAGGAGTTAGTGGATTAGTGGCTGCAGTTCGTTGGTTTCCAGCTCTATAAATAGAGCATGTTACTGTGAATTAATTCATTGATTTCTGAGAGTAATAAAGTTCACTTTCCTGTTCCCACTTTCTTGTTTCTAAATTATTAGTGGTATCAGAGCCTGGTTGTGAAGAAAGTAAAAGAGCTGCAATAACAATCTTTCATTTTCCAGTTCTTCTTTTCTTCGTTCTGCAGTAGCAGTGAATGATGGCTTCAGACAGCTTTGTACAACCAGCCATTCCACGTTTCGATGGGCACTATGATAATTGGAGCATGTTAATGGAGAATTTCCTACGATCTAAGGAGTATTGGCAAGTAGTTTCTAAAGGAATACCAGAAATGGTGGGTGCAGCAGCAACAGAAGCACAGAAAATAAAAGTGGAAAGTCAACTTCTAAAGGATCTTAAGGCCAAGAGTTATTTGTTTCAAGCCATCGATCGCTCAATCTTGGAAACTATTCTTCGCAAAGATACCTCCAAGCAAATCTGGGATTCTATGAAGAAAAAATACCAGGGGTCCGCAAGAGCAAAAAGACAACAGCTACAAGCTCTTCGATCAGAATTTGAAACAACTCGAATGAAGTCAGGAGAATCTGTGACGGATTACTTCCCACGGATAATGACGATTGCCAATAAGATGCGGATTCATGGTGACAAAACTGAAGATGTTACCATTGTCGAAAAATTACTCCGGTCCATGACTCCAAAATTTAATTTTGTTGTCTGCTCAATAGAGGACTCCAAAGATATTGATGAGCTTTCACTAGATGAACTCCAAAGCTCTTTGCTTATCCATGAACAAAAGATCAGTGAGCAAGACAAAGATGAACAAGCATTGAAGGCTTCAACAGGTGCTTATGGCTGGACTTCAAACAAAGCAAATAAAGGAAGAGGTAAAGGATTTAAGGATCATAAAAATCAGCATCAGCAATATGGTAACCAATTTGGTGATTCTCGAGGAAGAGGCAGAGGCGAATTTCATTTTGGCAACCACAGAGCAAAAGTCAGTAGACAAAGCTAATATAGAGTGCTACAGATGCCACAAATATGGACATTATCAATCAGAATGTCAAACTAACATGTCTAAAAGCAATGGGGAAAAATCAAATTTTGCAGAAAAAGATGAGGAAATATCTCTGCTAATGGCCTGTCATACAAGAGAAGAGACTAACAAGAATTTGTGGTACCTGGACACTGGTTGTAGCAACCATATGTGTGGGGATAGGACAATCTTCTCCACCTTAGATGAATCTTTCAGAGATAATGTAAAGTTCGGTGATAATTCAAGAATTTCTGTTATGGGAAAAGAATAAATTATTATCCAAACGAAGGGAAATTCCACTCAAACTATTTCTAATGTCTTATTTTTTCCAGAATTGAAGACAAATCTCCTAAGTATTGGGCAACTACAAGAGAAGGGCTATGAGATCTCGATTAAAGATGGAGTTTGCAAAATTCAAGATGCCAAATTGGGGTTGATTGCTCGGTTAGCATGACAACAAATCGCATGTTTCCACTATATCTCCACAATGTTACTCAGTCATGTTTTTTTAGCAAAATTGAAAGATAAAGCTTGGCTATGGCATTTTCGATATGGTCATCTAAGCTTTGGAGGTTTAAAAACACTTCAGCAGAAAGATATGGTGGCTGATCTTCCACGGTTTGGACGTCCCTCCGAAGTGTGTGAAGAATGTGTTTTTAGTAAACAACACCTAGATCCATTTCCAAAAGGAAGGGCAAAAAGAGCAAGAAGGCTATTGGAGATTGTGCACTCCGACATTTGCGGGCCAATCAATCCTGCTTCCAATGGAGGTAAACGATAGATGATCACTTTTGTCGATGATTTAAGCAGAAAAACTTGGGTGTATTTCCTACATGAGAAATCTGAAGCTCTTAGAGCTATAAGGTTATGGTTGAAAAGGAAGCAGGAAATTTAATACAGGTGTTGCGCACTGATCTCGGAGGTGAATACAATTCACACGAGTTTGCTAAATTTTGTGAAAATCATGGCATTAGACGACAACTAACAACAGCTTATACCCCACAACAAAATGGGGTATACGAGAGGAAAAATCGCACAATCATGGATATGGTGAGAAGTTTGGTGGTGGGAAGTCGAGTTCGAAAGAGTTTCTGGCCTGAAGCAGTAAATTGGAACATCCACATTTTAAATAGAAGCCCTACTCTAGCAGTTCAGAACAAAACACTAGAAGAGACATGGAGTGGAAGAAGACCAACTGTTGGGCATTTCAGAATCTTTGGATGTATTGCTTACGCCCAAATACCAGACGAAAAGAAGAAAAAGCTAGATGATAGGGCGAAAAAGTGCATCTTTCTTGGAGTAAGTAATCAGTCCAAAGCATACGAGTTATATAATCCAACCGTAGAAAAGATTGTAATTAGCCGAGATGTTACATTTGATGAAGAAAGACTTTGGGAGTGGAATGGAGATGGAGTTCAACAACAAATTCCTGCGAATTTTGATGTAGAAGAAGAAATCTAACATATGACAAACTCACAACAACCAATGGATGAACAAGATGAACCAGTACCAGCAGCTCAAAGTCCACCTGCAGTATCAACAGATTCTAGATCACAAAGGTTCAGAAGGCGAGCTACATGGATGACCGATTATGAGGTAACGGGCACTGAACATTCTGAGGATCCACTTACACACTTTGCCCTTTTCTCAGATTGTGATCATGTAACCATTGTTGATGCTTCTAAACAACCGAAATGGTGGAAGGCTATGGATGAAGAGATTGCATCCATAGAAAGCAATAACACTTGGGAGCTGACTTATCTTCCAAATGGAGAAAAGACCATTGGTATCAAATGGGTGTACAAAACAAAGTTAAAAGAAAATGGTGAAGTTGACAAATACAAGGCAAGATTGGTGGCTAAAGGCTACAAGCAAGAGTTCGATGTTGACTACAAGGAAGTATTTGCACCTGTAGCAAGACATGATACCATCAGATTACTTATCTCATTAGCAGCATAGAATGTTTGGCCTCTTTTCCAACTAGATGTCAAATCAGCCTTCTTACATGGAAACTTGGAGGAGCAAGTATTTATAAATCAACCCCTTGGATATGTTAAGATTGGTTATGAGCATAAAGTGTATAAGTTAAAAAAGGCTTTATACGGTTTAAAACAAGCCCCGCGAGCTTGGTATAGTCGTATAGAAGCCTATTTTCTGAAGGAAGGATTTCATAAGTGCCCTTATGAACATACACTTTTTATTAGAAAAGATGAAGCTGAAAAGATGCTCATGGTTTGTCATGTGGATGATTTAATTTATACAGGAAATGATAGGATCATGTTTGAAAATTTTAAGAAATCTATGATGGATGGATTCGACATGTTTGATCTTGGAAAGATGCATTATTTTCTTGGCATAGAAGTTAATCAATCTGCAGATGACATTTTTATCTCTCAAAAGAAGTATGTACAAGAGATTCTAGACAGGTTCCGGATGAAAAATTGTAATCCAGTAAGCACACCAACTGAAGCAGGCACAAAACTTGTTAGAGATCCCGAAGGAAGAAAAGTAGATAGCACCACGTACAAGCAGATCGTGGGAAGTTTAATGTATTTGACAGCAACAAGGCCTCACATCATTTAAGCAGTCAGCCTTATTAGCAAATACATGGAAAAACCAACAGAAATGAATCTTCTTGACGCCAAAAGAATTTTTCGGTACTTGCAAGGCACAAATGATTATGGTCTACTCTATAAGAAGGGAGAGAGGACACATTTAATTGGCTTTACAGATAGCGACTATGCTGGAGATCAAGATGACAGAAAGAGTACATCTGGCTATGTTTTTATGATGGGGACAACAGCTATTTCATGGTCTTCAAAGAAGCAAGCAATTGTTACTCTATCAACAACTGAAGCGAAATTTGTAGCTGCAACAGCATGTGTTTGTCAAGCAATTTGGCTAAGAAAAATTCTTGAAGAATTGCATTTCAAGCAAGAGGGAGCCACAGTAATTTACTGTGATAATATCTCAACGATCAAGCTGTCAAAAAATCCAATTTTACATGGAAGGAGCAAGCACATAGATGTAAGATATCACTTTCTAAGGGATCTTAAAAAGGAAGAAGTCATTGATCTGGTCTACTGCAGAAGTGATGATCAGATTGTTGATATTCTAACCAAACCCCTCAAGTTGCTTGCATTTCAGAACCTAAGAAAGATGCTTGGTGTTTGCTCTTTGGATGATCCAATTTGAAGGTGGACGCTTTGGAACTAGCCTTCACTAAATTGAATGTTGAAACATCAGTTTAAGGGAGGGACTGTTGAAAAATCCAAGACTATTTAATTGCTATTGTCCTAGTCTTTAGGTAAGTTGATAAATTGTATTTATTTTATTTAGGAACGTGGTTTGTTTTGGCCCAGTCAAATTAGAGTTTGTTTTGCATTTACCAAGTCTTTACCATTTAATCAGGAGTTAGTGGGTTAGTGGCTGCAGTTCGTTGGTTTCCAGCTCTATAAATAGAGCATGTTACTGTGAATTAATTCATTGATTTCGGAGAGTAATAAAGTTCACTTTCCTGTTCCCACTTTCTTGTTTCTAAATTATCAAGATGCCGGTTCAATAGGTGGGTTAGACCGCATTTAATGAGAGTATTCCTCATTTCTCTACAACGGCGAAGTGAAAACTGTCCACAATTTTACATTGAATTGGAAAAGAAAGTGTCTAATTGAAGATAGATAAGTCGCAATATAAAAACGATGCCGTGGTTTAGCAATTAAAATGATTTCCCTAAAATTTCCATGTTAAGAAGCTCGACTGCTTGAGGAATGTGAAAATATGGATACAATCACTTCTCAATTAGTAAATCAGCTTTTTCTAGCCTGTGAATTACTGCAAACCCAACTTGAAACCAAAACCTGATTGCATGATTCACAGTAATCCTCTTGCTCGGACTCATAAAGTTGCTCAAAAATTCAATATCCCAAGTTATATTTTTGAAACAATTTCTTACCCACAAAATAATTTGGGGGTTATTTGAACTTTTAAAAGTTTGGCCAATAGTTGCAATTTATTTTTCTTTTTCTTTTTCTTTTCTTTTCTTTTTTGTTTTATTTAAATAGGAGGGTATGTTGGTCATTTTATGCTTAAAATTAATGAAAAGAACGTTCGGCGCAAAAAAAAGGTGAAAGGTAAGAACAAAAATGCCAAAAAATGAAAGGTAAGGACGTTTTTTATAATAAACTTCAAAGTTAGGGACGTTTTGTGCCAATTACCTAAAATAAATAATAGGTAACAAAGTCACCATTTTTTTAACTTAGCCGTCGTTTGGAATCCATTATTTTCAAAATACATTTTTTCTTCTTATTTTTAACTATAATGTATATTTTTCAATAAATTACATACAAACTTTTTTTTAACCACACATTCTCCATTAAAATACTATTCCAAATATATTTTGGACATAAAATTATCATCAAACGGGCTCTTAATAATAATAAAATAACCGTGTTTGTTTAGTGGATATTAAAATTAGATTTTTAGTAAATTTTAGTAAAAAGTTGATAAAATACGTTATTGAAAAATTGTAAATCCCATGAAATATATAATTGAAATTAGTTATTAACTTTGACTCTTCCTATCAAACATGGACTATATTTAAAAAAATAAAAAATAGAATAAAATAAAATAATTAGTAATGTATAATTAACATTAAAAGACAATGAGTAATTTATCTCCATTAGGAAATAACCGAAACATCATGATTAAAATGTATATGAGCTCATATAATGTGAACTTTTATAGGATAGTTATATTTGCACACATAGTAGGACTGTCGATCACATGTCCAACCTCGAGCCATTCAAAATAATCAGTACCATATAATTAACATTAAAAGACAATGAGTAATTTATCTCCATTAGGAGATAATCGAAACATTGTGATTAAAATGTATATGAGCTCATATAATGTGAACTTTTATAGGATAGTCATTTATGCACGCATAGTAAGACTATCGATCACATGTCCAATTTCGAGCCATTCAAAATGTTACATCTTGATGTCTAATATAGTAACAGAGGTTTAGAATGTCATGATTGAACAATCCTACTATGTATACATAGAGGATTGCTCTATCCAAACTTCTCTCTCATAGTACATTACATCACATCATATGTCACATAGATTGATGATTATATCCCATGAAGACAAGTAGTATTTTTTCCAAGGAAAAATTCAGTCCATGCTTCCTCAATCCTTTTTAATTCCTGATGTGAAGTTGATAGATAAATATCTAGAAGGCTCCTTTTTTTTTCAATTCCGCTACACGTACACGCCACTTTACCTGCCGGGTTACACGGTGACGTGGCGAAGAAAACGTATTAATGGGTTAATGGGTAACATGTCTTGAACCGGCCCAAAGTGAAGAAACCCGCTTACGCTCGCATTTCTTCAGTTTCTCAGTTGCCCCAAAGGCAGAAAACCTTCTCTACTGAACGAACTGATGCGAGGAGATCTGCAGTTGCGCTCCACCATATTGAGAAGACGATGATAAATATTGTGGTCATCTCCATGAATTTGTTTTCCACCCGAAGTTAAGCGCACGGTTATGAGGAAAAAATATTTAGCCGCAAGATTAGAGCAAAATCGCCCATCCCTGAGGCCTTCTTCTCCGGCGATATCTTGAGCAATATTATGTAAGTAGAATATTTGGGCATTTCTTTTTACTGTGGGGAAGTAATTTATGTTTTAAGAAAAGGAAAAATCTCACTGTCAGCCCTACTTCTTCGAAGAACCCGACGTACTGGGCTGCATAGTTTCGAACTCCATTTCAAATACATACAAGGCTCGAATATATGATAATCTGGGCTAGTTTTGAACATATGGCAGTCTGGGCTGCAAAGTTTCGAACTTCCTTAGTATGCCTTTCAATCTCAAGTCATTCCATTGTTTGGAGATGGTGAATGTACATAATTTGTGTGAATAATAATCAATAGGAATAAAATCTACTTGTAAACTGTTAGAAATATTTATTTGAAGGGTTTGTGTAATTTTTAAATATAATTTATAAGTGAAAATCTCACAAATCTGGAGAGAAATGTTTCTACCTACCAGCAGTATGATAATGCATAATAGAGTTCAATATTGTGAAAAAGCCTTTGACGTGTGACCACATGAATAATAGAATTTAGACTCGTCCGTGAATTTGATAGGCATAATCTCAGACAGAGTGTATAATGTTGAAGCCCTTTTGTTTTCTTCTGGTGGCATGTAAAGAGTGGGTTGAATGTGTAAGTTTGTTACTGTTATTATTGATATGGTTCTTGACATTCATGTTTGGTTTGAAATTCGGTTTTTGTGAATATCTTGATTCCACTGAGCAAGGGGATTTTGTTAAAAATGTTGTTTAATTTAGTGTAATCTGTGTGTCGTTTGTTGTGTAGTATGCCGGGAAAGAACTCCGGTCTTTGTCATAGCTGTAGAGAGAATGACCACTTGTTTGCGGAATCCCGAAGAAAAGGCGATGCCCCTTGTGTAAAAGTGGATTTGTGAAGTGCTTTGAGATTGAGAGGGGGACGAAGAACAAGGGAAGACTTTTCAACTCCTGTAGGGCTAACTGTAAATATTGGGCATAGGTTGATGACGGAGAATCAAGCTGTGGATCAAGTGATATTACCGTTAGGAGCCAGAATAATCATGCAGCAATCGACCAAGTTCAGGAGTTCTCTAGCGTGTTCCGATCTCTTTGTCACGTGGTGTCCGTGGAACGAGATATTGAGATTTCTTTGAACGTGACTATAAGGAAGGCCAACGAAAGTGCGGGAGTTGATGTGAAAGGGAAGGGGCCAAAATGAGTAATGGTTATATTTTCTTATGGAAGGGAAGGGGCCAACAAAATGTGTTGTGTTATTTGTAGTTCATGTGTAATATGTGCCGTTGGTAAACCGAACAAGTCATTGTAATATATTTGCTTTTGATGTTTCAATCGCTATGTTAACGACGTCGATGTTGATAGTAGTGGGCTAGATGTCGTCTTGTTTGTTATATTATTTGTGTTCTTCATTGTGTTAAGATAGATTTAAGTGTAATAATTATGTTGTTTCTTGAGATCATAATTTTTGGTGACTTTATCTTGTTTACCAGTTATGGGTGTTCATCACCATAATGTTTGAGTTGAAGTTGTTAACTGTCTATACTTGCCTTCTTGATAGGGATAAGGCTGGGACTCTTGGAGGATACGAAACACGGAACTGGCTACATAGTTTTGTATTGATCAGCGTGTTGATGTAAGAAATGGGCTCATTTGTCTCTTATGTGGCTACACCAAACAGATATATAAGTAAAATATTCATTTAGGATGGCAAAATGTCATCTTCACACTTAGCCGTCAGAATAATGATACAATATTCAACCATGATGGTCAATTACTCAGCAACTTTCTTTCTGCCAACTAAAATTTCGGCGTAGCTACAAACCAAGTATGAAGAGTGTAGGAGAGAAAGTTACTACAAAATCCAAATATTCATACAATTGTGGCCAAAACAATAAAATACCCAGAACACATTTAGACATCATTATATTTTTTCAAAACACAAATTTAAAAAGGATCTTGGCTTTAGCACAATGGTGGACTGCCCGGGAGGAGGCAACAGCTCGAAATTCTTAACCACCAAAAGCACTCCTCCAGCCATGGTCACTTTTTGGTGACTGCATCTACTCTTCTGCTGGACATATTCTGCACAATTAAAAGAAGTGAAGTGAGCAAAAAATATATGCCCTCATGTTCACCTCTTACACCGGAAAAGAGTTCTACATTTATCCTTCATCCTTCCCATCATTTATCGCATAAGAGCCGAATTAGTAAAGCAAGAAAGACATCAAAAAATTTCAGCTTAGACACATTACATGATAAAACAAAATCCAATAACTGACGAGTGTCAATGCAGAAATGATGCAGGAGCATTAGTTAATATCAAACCTCTCTCATAAGTTAAAGTCCATTAAATATATTACTTTCTCAACAAACTCACAAGTGATAACCACAACAAATTGGCATAACAATATTACTTACAGTAATTGAACATGGCACATTCCAATATTTCAGAAAATAACCAGGCAGAAATTCTCCCTAAAAAGTTTCCATAAAAACTTTAATCAGATTCACAGCACATTCTGGCTATAATTAGTTTAGAATTAGTTGCATTTCCAAGTCCCATGCATGACGTTTTTTTTAAACTTCAGACCAGTGAAAGGTTTCAAAAATTTATTCAATCCATCCTAAATGGTGCCAGAGTTTTCCAGGAGCCCATCATAGTATAAAACGAAGTTAAAGTAGTGGAGCTGCAAGGGAGAACTCACTTTATATAGAGATGATGGAACTAAAGTCTCATACAACTCATTCAAGGTGACAACCCCAGAAACGCCAAGCTCCTTTAGCCTATGAACATCAGATGGGAATGGAACAGCACCTAACAATACAAATTATGGAAAATGAAATTAGTTGGTGCTTAAGACACAAATTAAATAAATACTCACAAACTAAATTTGGCAAATCAAAACAAAAGCTTTAAACAAACTTAATTCCAAAACTACGAATCTACAACCAAAAAATGCAATTAACACTTGACTGACTCTATATGCATTGTTAACACACACTTTACTTCTTACAAGCTTTAAGAAATGCTTCTCATTCTCTTATCCATATATTAAAGGAAAATATTTTTATTACTACTTGGAGCGAAAAACATAAATAAACAACCCATCTCCATCTCCTAATTACCTTGTGAATATCCGTCCATCATTCTTCTTCATCTAACATTAAAAGTTCGGTCCATGTGGGCGAGGTACATTTGGAATGTAATTAGGCATTGCATTTCCAACTACGAAGTAGAGAATGTTATTACACAAACAAAGTACGAATTAAAAAATAGTACAGAAGTTCAACCATATAATTACCTTCCCATTAAAAGTATGATTGCCCATGATGATTAACTCCAACAAATGGAGCAAATGGCATGTCATACTTATTAGTTAGGTACGTGGTATCGAGTGTCACCACGACTCCGAACTCTTTATATGCTTGCCTACTCCTATTATCTGCCCAGAAAATATTCCTCATCCGCGACTTTTCGTCCAAATCCATACTAAAGAAAAAACCTGAGCACCTTGCTTGCATGTTCGAAAAGTAAACCTGTATTGCTGCGGCATCTCCTTCTCCAAGTCTTAACCGCCTCACCTGTTCAACATAATTTCGACAATCCTTTTCGATGCAAGTCATTTTCTCATACTCCCCTACTTCTACAACTGCGGAGTTATAACTTTTATGTAACAGAATCCCTGCCATGTCGTTCACTTCAAGCCGTCTTTTGATATGGGCACTCAATTCTTGGTTGCAACGATACAGCCTGGACTTCGAAGGGCTAGTTTTATGATTGTGAATGAGATTGACTGTATTAATTCTCCATACTCCGCATGCATCTGCAAATGCAGTCAGCTTAGCTTTACAACCTGTCTAAATGGTAGCTTGTGACTTCATAGAACCGCTTGTGGTAGTACTCATTCGCCCTTCACAGCTACATGTAAACACACATATCTCACAATTCCTTCATCATCCTTTTGCGAGTTTCTTTTCCTAACCGGGAAGCCCACGTTGTATGCATATCTTTTGTAAAAATCGAACATTTCTTTTTCATCGCTGAACTTCATACCTACCTCGGGCTCAATCATACTATCTAATCCTGCAATTCCATCATCCACTAAGTTAACACTTTCCAACATATTGTCGTTATCTGATACTAACAAGATATCATCCTCCACCTCTTCCGAAAATTCCTTTCGCCGCCACAAAAAGGAAAATGAAAAATTAAAACGAACACAAGTTCCTGCATATAATTCATCCTTGGAACACAAGTACCCAAACATTGCTTGCTGCAAATCAGTATGACCAGGTCTAGCATTTTTGTTATATACCAGACTTCTTTCATTTCACTAAGTAAAGGTGTAGAATCTAGCATGTTTATCAACCTAATGATCATTTAAGATGGTCGTAAACATTTGAGCTCAAAACACCCGATTTACATAATATATGGGTTCAACTTTCCACCCACAGGTTCTTGCTTATAATTTATCCTTGGAACACAAGTACCCGAACATTGCTTGCTACAAATCAGTATGACCAGGTCTAGCATTTTTTTTTATATACCGGACTTCTTTCATTTCACTAAGTAAAGATGTAGAATCTAGCATGTTTATTCAACCCAATAATCATTTAAGATGACCCTAAACATTTGAGCCCAAAACACCCGATTTACATAATATATGGCTTAAACTTTTCACCCACAGAACATCAAAATTATGTTAAATAACGATTTCTGTAAACTATCAGAAACAATCTTATGTTTTGGGCATAAGAGGAATCCAAAGAAATCAAACTCAAATGACGAAGGGGAATACCTTTGTCCGTCATCTCTTCGAGTGGAACAAGATTTTGCCTACTTCTTTGCTTCCAAAGTTAACCCCCGTATTGGGTACCTCAAGCAACACTGCTACGAAGAGAAATCGAGAGAAATCAACGACGCGGAGCCCCCGATTTCTGTACCAAAATGCCCCAATTCGGCGGCACAAATCAGCGACCAAATTGCTTCAGTTCATTGGGAAGAAAATATGCTGAGAGAAATCGTAGAAAAGGCAAAGCAAAAATTAATTTCGCGGGCAAAATGAAAAGGGAATCTGTTTCGAAATGGGACCCGTCCACCAAGTCATTCAAGAAACCCGCCCACTTTTCCTGTTTTTTCTATTTTTTTGGTCTACTTTCCACGTAAGTGTGTCAACCAACATGTAAGTCTAAGGGTACAAATAGCTTTATTCTTTTTTTTTTTTTTTAAATATAGTGTCTGACAAAATAGCCTTGCACCGTACGGTTATAGCTAGAACAGCTGGGAGATTAACTGGGCACGCAGTTGTATATGTTCAAGTATAATTTGAAGGAATTCATGTTAAAGTTGAACAGACCTGATCCTTAGGAATTTATGCAAGCATTGGTCATTGTAGATTTTTGATAAAAAGGACTTTTTTTTTCAAGTTTCTGAGTACCATAAAGATACATTGAAACTTTGATGCATTTTGGAACTGATTTAACATGTGACCTTACTCAAGAATGTTGGATGAATTTTGTGAATAGTGACGCTGAAATAAGTATAATGATGGTGACAAAGCCGAGGCAAGAGTTGGACTCTTTGTCCTTAAGTCGAATTTGCCCCGCAACGGTGCCTACGGATTTCGGCAATCGACTCCCAAGATACAACGGCTACACTTGTGTTTGTAGCACTCCAAAACACAAGTACAACGAACCAATTTAGGCTTATGTACTCCAAGGATGAAATGAAAGAAAATCAAAATAAGCGAAATGATTTTGATTTTGGATAGAAGAGAGGATGAAATCGTTTTGCATATCAAACTGTGAGGAATAGGACACCCAAAGGGTCCTATTTATAGACCATGAAGGGGTGTGGACGAAATGGTTGAGACCAAACCATGCACCATTTCCAAACAATGCATATTTATGAAAAGGTGTCTATTCACTAATGGTTGAGGTCTTTTTTTTCGTAATTTCTCATTCATCCGATATTGGTTTTCGAAATGCCAAATATACCCTTCAATACATGCAGAGAAATCAAAATTCTCTTTCGGGGGCGTTGCCCCCGACCCCCCACGAGGGGCGCTGCCCCCTCGACCCTCGCGACCTGACCGGGCAGGTCGATCCCCGTTTGTGCGCCCCGAAGCGGCGAAGTGGCAAACAATTTTGCCTAAACGGATTGAGTCGAGCTTTTGAGTATTTGGCCGAATTCGATACGAACTTTAATCGATTTTCAATTCTCAATTTATTTAACCAATATCCAACAATCCCCCACAATGCAACTCCTAATCTTGCAACCTATTGAAGTTACAAAATAGCAAACTTAATTCCTTGTAATTTTGAGGGAACAAATCATTGAATAGTAGGAAGATTGGTAAATAATAATTGAGAAATATGGTTAACTGAAATCTAGCCTGTAGTATATGATAGTCATTATCTTTAAACAAAAGAAAAATGAAATAGGATACCTATTTGAAATTTGTTACCAGTCTCAAAAAATATATGAGGGTGTATTTGATTGTCAACTCGATGTGGACTTCAAGCTGAATGTTAACAAGTTAATGGTTACGTATCAAGCCAACAAACAAGTCTCTTTTTGTCTGGGTAGCCTCTAAAACCAGGAGATTATAATAATTATGTGGTTTATAATATGCACACAAAAAAATTATATTCGATTTATTAATAAATGTTTATCCGTGGGTGATGCTAAAATTTGGTTGAACTTTGTGGGAATTGATTCATGATCCACTATGAATGTGAAGTCTCCCATGTGTTTGTTAGGTTTTGAAATTATTGTACAATTTATCAATGCTGTCTACATTTGATTTGATTTTGACTTTAATTTGTCCACTTGTTTGACTTTTTTTTCCCAATTTTAAAATTGCTTTGTCTTTAACCTTCCCCTCAATTCAAAAGGATGCGATCGAACTTTACCTCAACAGTAATAGAGATAGCATAGCTATAGATAGGGACAAGGTTCGAATCAAATTATATTATATATAATAAAGATGAGAGCCGCTTTGATTGATTGCTTGCGATAGTTTATGTTTGAAATCTAATTTTATAAAGTTTTAATTATTTTGTTAGTTTGACCATGTGCTGAAGATCAACGGTGCAAAATTTTTCTAAGCTTATAATATAATTATACTTGACTATGTCCACTATGACGTATCGAATATGCAATTAAACGAGATGTACGAGTCAAAGAAAAAAATAAAGTTAATTTGCAGGGTTGAAATTAAAAGGCTATAGATGTAAATTTTCGCAAAGTAGGGATCTATTTGAAAATGTAAGCAGAGAAAAGGGACGCCCGCTTTTCCGCTTACTGTTTGTATTTCTTTCTCCTGTGCTATCACCACTCTATAGACAAGTAGAAACTAGTACTTGCACGAATCATCCCTCGACAAGTATATATATGTGTATGTGTGAGTGTAGACAAAGTCGAATTTTCAAAGTCGACTCGAGCATTAAGCGCTACAGGCAGTTGGATAAGTTCTCGTGTTTTTGATAATTAGATAGAGATAAATGTTCTTTGTTTCCTAAAATTGTTTTCTTTGGCCTCTAAGGTGTTCGAGCTGAGAATTTTTGAGCTAACTGAGTTGGTGATTCAGAATTGAGCCACTTCCATGGCGAACAATCCAGGAGAGGCCACATCCGACGACTTCCTGGAGCAAATACTGCGCTTCCCGGCCTACACCGGCGGAGCAGAGGCTAACATGGCGGGAAACGACTCGGCTGCCAGCTTGGGAGCAGCGCCGACTCCGATGATGCTTCAGCTGAGTTCAGGAGA